CACAGGGTCGCGAAGAGATTAGTACTATCGGCGGCAGCGGCTCGCCCCGGGCCGAGCCACCCGTGATTGGCATCTGATTTATCCCGAGGATTTACCCCGATCTCCACACTGGTGCACGTCTGCTGCGCGCACGGCCATAGTGCACACTGCACATACAAAAAATACACAGCAAAACCACACATAACAAGAAATACTTTGTTTTCTGATGATGAAACTTTCATAACCATAATGAAAGTTAACGACTGTGTTTTGCATTGCTAAAAAGGATGCATTTTCAATTTTTCTATTTTGTATATTTTCCTTCTTGTTTTGGGGGATATTTAAAACTTTGGTTCCTTTTTCTCTTTTGGAAGAGAATAATATACTTTATCACTAAAAGACGAGAGGGGCGGTTGGTCGCCTCCTCCTCCCCGCCCCGCGCGACCGTCCCCTCCCCCGGTCCTCTCCCTCCCTCCAGTGCCGCGCCGAGCGGCGGCCGCCCGCCGCGTAGGCAACCCATCGCGCTCTGCGCACCTGTGCGTTGGGGTTGCGCGTCGCTGGCCCCGCAGGCGCTCCGCTCCACTCCGGCCGAGCGCTCGCTCAGTAGCAGCGCTCCTGATGATGGCCCTCTGCGTCGTGGTTTGGACCCGTGCCCGCCCGACTCGACGGCTTTTACGGCGCTTTCTGAGAATGCTAGTCGCTTTCGGCTCAGCCCGCGAGTAGTGGCGCGTGCTCTGTTGTTGCGCCACCACAAGGGAGGGTGCATCATTGTTTGCCGTCTGTTAACGTCGATGAATTTTATCTTTCAATTGTCGAAAAGCGGGTCACTTTTAAAAAGAGATTTACCGTAAAGCGTGGTGCGCGATAGTGAGGTGGGCACGTCGCAACGCCGCCGCCGCCACTGTAAAGCGCCATCGCTATTCTCAGGCCGGTGCCGGTGCGATGGTGGTGGCGTCCAAAGCTGTGATTAGCTCGCTAAGCCGAGCTTGTGTGCCACGCGTTATCCCGCCGCCGGTACCTACCTGTGTGCGCCTCTGTTGTGTGTATATTTGCAGCCGTGTGAGACACCTTACCGACACGCCAGGTCACGCCTGGCCACGGACGGCGTATGGCAGGCTGCCAGAGCCTCAGGGGCAGTCTGGCCGAGTCCCCCTCCCCTTTCTCTCCTCTTACGCTTCTCCTTCGTCTTCTGTATTGCACCCCCTCCCCACTTTCCCCTCCACCCCCAATCTCTCTCTTTCTTTTCCTCTCCTTCTTACCTCTCTACCTCTACCCACCCTTTCCTAGCAAGGCCTCTCTCTCTCTCTCTCTGGCCCTCGCCAACGTAATAGAGGAGGAAAAGAGTGACAGGCGGACATAGGGACAGACATACAGACAGATGGACAGACGAGAGAAAGGGGGTGGGTTGGGGGGGGGGGCATTCCTGTGTCACCGCGGCTCCTCCCTCTGCGAGGTGATTGCCGCGTCTTTGTGGCCTTTTCGAGGAGTTTATTCGGTCTCGGCGGATCCACGTGCGTCGCGCCGTTTGTTGTTGTCGTTGTTGATGTTTTTGTTTTGTTGTCGTTGTTGCTGCTCGGCCACGTGCCCCCCACGTGTATGGGTCACGGCCGAAGTGTCGACAGACAGACGAGCATAGACGGATGGGACAGTCGGGCAGCAGCAGCCTGAACCTTATAGAACCCTTACAAGATTATGTTGTGCGTATAAGGCCTGCAAGACTTTTGTGCAGCCACAACTTATGCACATCTCCTTTCCATGCATAAATATGCATAACTAACTAGCATGCCCACTGTGCACAAATTTGTGCACAGTCGTGTATAAATTTTACATAACTACTCTGGAAACACAAGAAGTGTCGTACAGTCTCACAATATTTTAAGTGCAGCACCAATGGTTCTTCCACACTGGGCCCCACACACAAAAAACTG